CAGCTCAAGGCTAGAGCTCTACCACTTGAGCCACAGCGCCACTTCCGGCTTTTTTTCTTTTTGCTTATGTGGTGCTGAGGAATCGAACCCAGGGCCTCAAGCATGCAAGGCAAGCGCTCTACCACTGAGCCACCTTCCCAGCCCGGGGTCCTCCTTTCTTCCAGAGCCTGGTAGGTCCCATTTGAACCCTGAGTTCAAACCCCAGTACTAACATTTTTTTTTAAGTCTTTTTCTCTGAAACCTTTAGGTCTTGTTGGCAATTGTCTCCGTCTCCTCTGGTTTGCCAGCTTTCCAAAACTTTTTCCTTGCCAAACAATTCATCCTGAAGCCAATGGCCTGCTCCAAGTGGAGAGGAAGGGATTTGGGGCCCAACTTTCAATACATGCTGCCAAGGAGATTTGGCTACATCCTGTCAAACACACTGACCTGGCTCTGTGTCTGCAGCTATCTTAACCATTGGCAAATTCCTGCATTCCTCCAAAGAAATGATCAGTGGCAATAATCTTTAGTAATGGCAAGCAGTGTTGTGCTGGGCATTAAGCAACCAGGGCTTTCCAACCTCACCTCCATAAGGAAGAGGCCTCGGGATCGAGCCTCGGCAACCATCTCCCGGACTTCTGCCGCAGTCACACCCATGGGCTTCTCACACAGGACAGCCTTGCCGGCTGCCAGGCAAAGTAGCACGGTATCCTTGTGCTGGGGGTGCTGAGTACCAACATAGACTACCTCTAGAATGGAAGGAAGTTTGGAGGTCAGCAGCCCTCTCCACCAAAGACTCTGCACAGGACCCAAGTCATTAGGGGCCTTGCCCCAGCATCCCTAGACTTTCACAGGAAGAGAACCAGTCAAAGCCAACTTGATTACTATATAGTGAGACCCTTTCCCAAAAAGAAAAAGAGTGGAAAGACTAAGCTAATGTTATTACTTCAGACAGGTATGGCAGTTCACACTTGTAATCCTGGCAATGGAAAATCTAAGGCCTCTCTTGAGGTCTGCTCAGCGTACATAGTGAGTTCCCCGCTCACCCACGTTGGGGTCCTTGGCCAGTTCCGCATAGGAGCCGTAGGCTTTGGGGATGTCGTGTTTTCTGGCAAACTCCTTTGCCCGGCTCAGATCGCGCGCAGCCACTGCCACCACCTGGAGGGAAAACAGGGTCAGACTCAGAAGCTCGGGCAGGTGCAGAAGACAAATGGGTGGGAGGCAGGTGAGAGGGGAGGCCCGGGAGTGAGGACCTTCAAGGTGAGAGGGTGCAGCTATGGGGGACGTTTCCCCTGGATACTTGGCTCAGGGGAGTGGCTGGGAAAGACGGCCTAAATCCCCTAAGCTCTCTAGGATGGTTTCTTGTCACCTTAGCACTTAAACCAAGACCCTCCCCTGATCAATTTATGTTTTGTGTGCTGTTCCTGGGGTTTGAACTCAGGGCCTGGGCACTGTCCCTGAGCTTGCTTGCTTGCTTTCTTCTTTTTTTTTTTTGGTGGGTCGTGGGGCTTGAACTCTGGGCGTGGGCACTGTCCCTGCACTCTTCAGCTCAAGGCAAGTGCTCTACCCCCTTGAGCCACAGCACCACTTCCGGTTTTCTAGTGGTTTATTGGAGATAAGAGTCTCACGGACTTTCCTGCCTGGGCTGGCTTTGAACCGCGATCCTCAGATCTCAGCCTCCTGAGTAAGCTAGGATGACAGGCGTGAGCCACTGGTGCCTGGCTTCTTTCTTTCTTTCTTTGGCACTGTCCCTTACCTTTCCTTTCTTTCTTTCTTTCTTTTGCACTGTCCCTTACCTTTCCTTTCTTTCTTTCTTTTGCACTGTCCCTTACCTTTCTTTCTTTCTAAGGCTGGCGCTCTACCACTTGAGCCACAGCACCACTTCCGGCTTTTTTCCTTTTGTTTATGTGGTGCTGAGGAATAGAACCCAGGGCCTCAGGCATGCAAGGCAAGCGCTCTACAACTGAGCCACCTTCCCAGCCCCACTTTTCCTAATTTCTAAAAAAGGTGTAACAGATATGATAGCCCGGGTCCTTTTTTACTTTTTCTTGTGTTTTTCTTTTCTTTTGTTTCTTCCCTGCCCCCCCCCCCCAGTAATGGGTCTTGAACTCTGGGCCTGGGTGCTCTCCCTCAGCTCTTCAGCTCAAAGCTAGCACTCTACCACTTGAGCCACAGCGCCACTTCCGGAATTCTAGTGGGTTTTTATTGGAGATAAGAATCTCAGGGACTTTGCTGCCCAGGCTGGCTTTGAACCAAGATCCTCAGATTTCAGCCTCCTGAGTTGTTAGGATTACAGGCCTGAACCACCAGCGCCCGGCTGAACTACCAGTTCTTAACTCTGTTTTGCAACTCTTAATCTTCCTGTGTCAGCACCCTGGGGTCTATTACGCAAAATATAAGAAACTATAATTATCACCTGGCTGGCCAAGTTCACCCACAACAGATCAGTAGTCAATTTCCTTTGACTTGCAGACATTTAATTAAGACCCTGGTGTCACCTTGGTGTCATCCTGGGAGTCATCGCTCCCAGGTTCATACAGGAGGAACAGGGAAATGATCTTTAGGACACAGCATCACTGCTGGGAAGAAAGAGAGACCAAAAAGCTGGGTGCCGGTGGCTCATCCCTGTCATCCTAGCTACTCAGGAGGCCGAGATCTGAGGATCGCAGTTCAAAGCCAGCCCAGGCAGGAAAGTCCATGAAACTCTTAACTCCAATAAACCACTAGAAAACCAGAAGTGGCACTGTGGCTCAAGCGGTAGAGCGCTCGCCTTGAGCTGAAGAGCACAGGGACAGCGCCCAGGCCCAGAGTTCAAGCCCCACGACTGACCCCCCTCCCCAAAATAAAGAGAAACCAAAAGTTTTCCTTTTGGCAGTATTGGGATTTGAAGCCAAGGTTTCATATTCACTTAGATAGGCACTGTAGCACTCACACTGTATCTCCCAGCCGCAAAAATGTTGCAGGGAAATAGAAGGGCAGAGGCAACAATCCTGAGATTATGGTTGAAAGCCAACCTTGGTAGATAGTGGTGGGCATTACCAGGAGTTTAATCTCACTGCCACTCCTAATGATTACAATCAAACTGGGCAAAAAAAACCATTTTTTTTTTTACCCAATTAAGAAAAGCAGATGGGGGGCTGGGAAGGTGGCTCAGTGGTAGAGCGCTTGCCTTGCATGCCTGAGGCCCTGAGTTCAATTCCTCAGCACCACATAAGCAAAAAGAAAAAAGCTGGAAGTGGTACTGTGGCTCAAGTGGTAGAGCACTAGCCTTGAGCTGAAGAGCTGAGGGAGAGCGCCCAGGCCCAGAGTTCAGGCCCCATGACCGGACCCAAAAAAAAAAAGGAAAAGCAGATGGTCAATCTCAATTACTCAGGAAGTTATGACGCAGAAGATCACACAGTTCAATGCCAAATGGCAGAAAAAAAATCTTCAAGTCTCTATCTTCAATTAACAATCAAAATGCTGAGCTGGAGGGATGGCGCAAGTGGTAGAGCATCACCAATAAGCAAGAAAGCTGGAGGATTGCCCTCATTAGGCTCCCAGTTTGAACACTAATAGCTGCACACAAAAATTACAAAGCTGGGACTGGGAATGTGGCTTAGTGGTAGAGTGCTTGCCTAGCATTCATGAAGTACTGTGTTTGATTCCTCAGTACCACATACACAGAAAAAGCTGTAGCTTAAGTGGTAGAGTGCTAGCCTTGCGCAAAAATAGAAGCGCGGGGACAGTGCCTAGGCCCTGAGTTCTAGCTCAGGATTGTCAAAAAACAAAACAAAACACAAAGCTAGCTGAGGAGCCCATTTATACAATCAGAAAGAGAGTGTGCAGCCAGGCATAGGTGGCTCACGCCTGTAATCCTAGCTACTCAGGAGGCTGAGATCTGAGGATTGAGGGATTCAAAGCCAGCTTGGGCAGTAAAGTCTGTGAGACTCTTATCTCCAATTAAACTCCAAGTAGTGTTGTGGTTCAAAGTAGTAGAGTACTACCTTTGAGCTGTTAAGAGCTCAGGGACAATATCCAGGCCCAGAATGAAACAAAACAAAATGGAACCAGGTGCTGGTGGCTCATGCCTGTAATTCTAGCTACTCAGGAGGCTGAGATCTGAGAATCACGGTTCAAAGCCAGCCTGGGCAGGAAAGTCTGTGAGATTCTTATCTCCAATAAACCACCAGAGAACCAGAAGTGGCGCTGTGGCGCAAGTGGTAGAGTGCTAGCCCTGAGCTGAAGAGTTGAGGGACAGCGCCCAGGCCCAGAGTTTACGGCCTACAACAGACCCCCCCCCAAAAAAAAATATTGGAAAGCCATTATTCTACTTATTGCAGAAAGGGAAATTTAAATTGTAAGTTTTATTTTATTTTTTGGTCGATGGTGGGGCTTGAACTCAGGGCATTTTGTGCTCTCAAGGCTAGGTGCTCTACCACTTGAGCCACAGCACCACTTGTCCAGTTTTTGAGTGGTTCAGTGGAGATAAGAGTCTCATGGGAACTTTTTTGCCTAGGCTGGTTTAGAACCCCGATCCTCAGATCTCAGCCTCCTGAGTAGCTAGGACTATAGGCATGAGTCACCAGCACCTGGCAGGTTTTATTTGCTGGTACCTTAGATGAAGGAGGTCAGGAATGGTCACACCTGAGACCTCTAAGCCAAAGTTCTCAAATACCAATGACTGCTGCTGGGTGATTCAGGCTTAAGGACAGAAGCCACACCTTTCCTATTTTTTTTTTTTTTTGTCAGTTGTGGGGCTTGAACTCTGGGCCTGGGCGTTGTCCCTGATCTCTTCAGCTCAAGGCAAGTGCTCTACCACTTGAGCCACAGCGCCACTTCCATTTTTCTGGTGGTTCATTGGAGATAAGAGTCTCATGCTGGGGCTGGGAAGGTGGCTCAGTGGTAGAGCGCTTGCCTTGCAT